TCCTGGGCAAAGGCATGGAACCCACTGCTTATGAGTGAGATGTAAAGGGAAGACTTCCAGGGTACTGGTGGGTAGGGTTTCTCCCCTGATAAAAAAAGAGATACATGAAGAGAAGTACCCTCTCTTCCAGCCTTTGGGTACAGATGGATAAGTCTGTGATGTCTGGAATTGCTGCAGCCATCTTGTGCCCATGAGGAAACAAGCTGGCAGATGAGGGAAGGGACTAGGCCTAATGGAAAGACAGGAAACACGTGACATCACAGTGCTCCTGCTGGATCAACCAGCTACACGACCACGGAACCAGCTGTCTCTACATTTCGTGTCATGTGAGACAATAAAACCGTCTTGTTGCAGCCAGGCAGCCCTGGTAGCACAAACACTGTGTGCTTGGCTAGTAATCTAAAGGTTGACAGTTTGAATCCACCCAGCAGCTCTGCAGACAATAGGCCTAGTGATCTGCTTCAGTAAAAGAGAACAGATAGAAAGCCCTTTGGAGCACAGTGGAACCCTGTACCACACGGGTCGCCATGAGTGGGGATCGCGTTGATGGCCATGGGTTTGGTGTAGGGTCTGCTGCAGCCACTCTTGGGTAGGTGCTCGAGCACTGCAACTGAAAGCACGTGGACACGTGTAAGAGCCCCAGGCTCCCCCCACAGACACACTACAGGCGGAGGGCGTGGCCAGCCAGCAGACACAGGTTTCCAAGGACACTACGGGCCAAGCGAGGGTGCAGACTGGACATTCCTTCAATAGATGGAAAGGGTGATGGCCAGAATGCTGAGTTCAGACAAGAGGCATCCAGGTCACCGGACCAATTCCTCCTGATCGAGGCCTTTCCCCCCACACCCTGAGTCGCTCCCTGCCTTTGAAAGTGATCTTCAAAGCCAGGCACCACACAGCTCCAGAGAGGACTGGATGGGCCACCCAAGAACGGACAGCGCTCACCACACGGCTCTAGTGGAAAGGGCAGGCTCGACCTGATGCCGCCACTTGACGGCATCCTCCACCCACCCTGTCACATGTGCCGGGCGTGCCTCTCCCATGCCTGACAGTGTTGAACCTCAAGGGCTCCCAGACTCAAACAGAAGGAAAAGAGAAGAGGCTGTACCAACAGACAGTGTTGGGTACCAGACTGTGCCAGCTAAGGACTTAGAGCCTCAGCCCGGGTGAAGTGTGAACCAAGGATGGCTTAAGCCATCCAGGGAGGCCATGTTCCAGACTAGCACACCAGCCAGACCACGTCAGCAGTCCCATACAGATGTCACAGCACTGTTGGGGGGAATCGTGTGGATTCCTACTCACTGTGAGACCATGTGACAGGGTAGAACAGCCCCATAGGGTTTTCCAGGTCATTGTGTTTACACAGGAGCCCAGTGGCACAAAGGTTCAGTGCTTGACTGGGGACCAAAAGGTTGGCAATTCAAACTCAGCCTTTCCGTTATGTGGGAAAAAGAGGCACTTGACTGCTCACCACAAGGCTGGCAGTTCAAACCCACCAGCCACTCCTCGGAAGAAAGGTTGGGCAATCCTACTTCCGTAGTGATATATGAGTCGGGGCCGACTCGACGGCAAACAACAACAACAACAACAACATGCTCCTGTAACACTGCAGCCAAGAAAACCCTACAAGCCAGCTCTACTCCGTCAAATGGGGTTGCTAAGGGTTGGAACCAACTCAATGGCCCCTAGCAACAACACAGTCGTCACTGAAGCAGATGACCAGGTCTTCCTCACACGGAGCCACTGGGTAGGTTGGAACCACCACCCTTTGGACTAGCAGCTGAGTGCTCACTATGCCAGTAGGGCTCTTCTCAGAGAGATGGGGGCCCAGTGAAAGGGAAGAGAGTGGAGACAACAAGACTGTGTAGAGGAGCAGTCAGCCACAATGAGAAAGGACGTTCTGGTGCACGCTACCCCCAGGACGGACCCGGAGAGGGGATGCTGAGTGCAATCAGACACAAAAGGACAAACACTGTATGTTGTTGTAGTTGTTGTTAGGTGCCGTTGAGTCGGCTCTGACTCACAGCAACACTATGAACAACAGAACGAAACACTGCCTGGCCCTGCACCAGCCTCACAGTCCTTGCTATGCCTGGACAATGCTTCAGGGCTATTCATAAAGTTTTCCAGTCATATATCAGACAGCGTTTCACTGCTATTCATAGGGTTTTCACTGGCCAGTTCTTTGAGAAGTGGGTGGCCCCTTCCTTCTTCCGAGTCTGTCTTAGTCTGGAAGCTCCACTGAAACTTGTCCACCATGGGGGACCCTGCTGGCATTTGAAATACCGGTGGCATGGCCTTCAGCCTCAGAGCAACACACAAGCCACCACAGTGCGACAAACTGACAGAGGAGTGGTGGACTAGTGTATGAACCGCTGATACAGCCTATCTAGCAGACCCAAATGCATGGAGACAAAACGTTAGTAGCCACCAGAGCTGAGGGAGGAGGAAAAGGCGAGTTACTGCTTAAGGGGTACTGAGTTTCTGTTTAATAAAAACCAACCAGTTGCCATTGAGCTGATGGTTCCCACTCAGGACTCCCACCTGCGTCAGAGCAAGGCTGTGCCCCACGGGGCTTTCAATGGCTGTGATCTTTCAGAAGCAGACCACCTGGCCCAAGGTGCCCCCAAGTAGATTCAAGCTCGTAACTGTTTGCACACTCAGGGACTATGAGTATCTGTTTACAAAAAAAAACAAACCCACTGTCATTGACTGAGTGGATTCCAACCCATAGCAACCCCAGAGGACAGAGCAGAATTGCCCCATAGGGTTTCCAAAGTTGTAAATCTTTACGGAAGCAGACTGCCTCATGTTTTTCCCATGGAGCGACTGGTGGTCTGGAACTGCTGACCTTTTGGTTGGCAGCCAAATGGCTGGACCAGTGCACCACCCATTTCTATTTAGAGTGCTGGGATACTGGTGGGATACTTGGAACTGGATACTGGTGGCTGATGATTGGACAACATGGTCAGTGGAATTAATGTCATTGGATTACATACTTAAAAATGGTTAAAATGGCTAACTTTTTGCTATGCGTATTTACCACAGCACAATTTTTAAACAAAAAGGTTAGGCGTCGACAAGGCTGTTGAAACAGGGGGGAGAGCTTTTGGGTGTCACAGTCCTGCCACGTGATCCTACATGACTTCTCTTAGCATCCCAGACGAGTTCAACCCCAGAAATCCAAGGCCAGGGTCTAAGCTGAAGAAGACAGGCTGTGTGCCAGCAACTCCAAGTTCACCTGGCTTAGCATTCTGAAGGCTGAGCCAGCCACCCACACTCAGCTGTAGCATCTGCAAATTGACTATGCTGGAGCACGAAGGGACAATTACTCAATAGCTTGAGCCTCTTTTCCTTTGTTCGTAAAAAAAGGACATTTTCTCCTCGCCTCCTAAAGTGTGTCTGTTTTTCCCCATTTCCGTCTTCAGCTCTTCACTGCAAACAATAACAACAATAATAATGAGGTTTTACAATACTGTTATCAAACCCCACACTGTGACAAATGTGAACTCAGGTACTGTTTGAGACTATCAACCTAACTGGGGCGTTTGTGTACTAAGAGCGTGATGGATAAAAGCCCCACATGGCTGCACTTCCAGGTAATGGGCCGTCGGCAGCTGTGCGGCTGAACTGTGCCAGTGAGCCAACCGGACACATTAGCGTTCAATGGATCAGCATCAGGCCATAAAAGCAGGACTTCCAACGGGTCCATTCCTGTTATG